CAGATCAGAGTAAGGGTCCTTCTGTGCCAGCGCCCTTCTTCTGGTGGTCATCTAGAAGCTCACAAGTCGAGCACAAAGGCAATGGGGCATCTTTTTACCTGTTCCCAGCATCTGGTATTCATCGATATACTGCATCTGAATATAGAGGCTCCATCTTGATTTTCATGGCTACCATCTGTAAGGAAATTGCCTTGGCTAGATCAGATCAAAAGAAGTTCCTCGAACGCAATGATCTGGCTTCAGTGATCCATGCTACGGTCACCTCGAGGCTAGACTACTGCAATGCTCTCTACATGGGGCTGCCCTTGGGGGCAACTCTGGAAGCTGCAGCTGGTGCAAAATGCGGCAGCCAGGCTGCTGATGGGCCACCCCAAGTGGGAGCACATCCAGCCTGTGCTGAAGTCATGGCACTGGCTTCCAATAGCATTCCGGATTCGCTTCAAGGTGCTAGCTTTGACCTTTCAAGCCCTAAATGTTCTGGGGCCTGCCTACCTGAGGGACCGCCTTTCCCCATATGTTCCCCCAAGAGCACTGGGATCGGGAACGCAAAACCGTCTGCCCCCCCTTGGGCCTAGGGACGCCGGATTAGCAACAACTAGGACCAGGGCGTTCTCCCTGGCGGCGCCGACGCTGTGGAACGAGCTCCCTCATGAGACCAGAGCTCTACGGGACCTCCAGCAGTTCCGTAGAGCTCTTAAAACGGAGCTGTTTTGCCAGGCGTTCCAATAAGAGCCGATTACGCCGGTGGTGTCACACTAGCACTTTATCACAAGTTGTATTAGCTGGGATTTTATGGAAATGTATTTTATATTTTGTAATTGTTGGTTTTAACCGAATGTTGGTTTTAAATTGATGTTGGCAAATAGTAAAGACATAGATAGAATTGTATAATCTAAATAGAGAAAATTAGTTACCTTTGGACATAATAATCGATAAGGGAAAGAAGAGGAAATAAGATTTGTGCAGGAGGTTGGAGCACCGTTGGAAGCCAAAAAGGGGGGGGAAGGGGGAGAGGGGAGGATGGTATGGGTTTAAATGTTATAGATATTATTGGACTATGTTTAAAAAGGTAAAGGTAAAGGTTCCCTTGCTCGAGTCCGACTCTAGGGTTGCGGTGCTCATCTCCGTTTCAAAGCCGAAGAGCCAGCGCTGTCCGAAGACGTTTCCGTGGTCATGTGGCCAGCATGACTAAACACCAAGGCGCAGGGAACGCTGTTCCCTTCCCACCGAAGTGGTACCTATTTATCTACTTGCAATTTCTTGCTTTCGAACTGCTAGGTTGGCAGGAGCTGGAACTAGAGACGGGAGCTCACTCCGTCATGTGGCAACTCGGGTCTCGAACTGCTGAACTACTGACCTTCCACAGCCTGCAGTTCAGTGTCTTAACCACTTGAGCCACCGCAGCTCCCAGACTATGTTTACCGTATCCTAATAAAGTTGTTTT